TAGTACCAGGTACACTTTTGCCTTCAAAACTGTCTTAATCCTTCTTGACATAGATTCAACAAGATATTAGAACTATTCCTTAGAGATTTTGGTCCATGTTGACATAATAGCATCACGCAGTTGCTGCAGATTTTTCAGCTGCACATCCAGGATGTGAATTGCCTGTTCCGCCACACCCTAAAGGTGCTTTATTGGATTGAGGTCTTGTGACCGTTAAGGCCGTTTGAGTACAGTGAACTCGTTGTCATGTTCAAGAAACCAGTCTGAGATGATTCACGCTTTATGTCATGGCGCATTATTCTGCTGGAAGTAGCCATCAGAAGATAGGTACACTGTGGTCATAAAGGGATGGACATGGTCAGCAACAATCTCAAAAACTGTGGGCTGTGACACGATGCTCAAATAGTACTAATGGGCCCAAAGTGTGCCAAGAAAATATCCCCCACACCATTACACCAACATTACAAGCTTGAACCGTTAATACAAGGCAGGATGGATCCATGTTTTCATGTTGTTGACATCAAGTTCTGACCCTACTTTCCAAATGTCACAGCAGAAATTGAGACTCATCAGACGAGGCAATGTTTTTCCAATCTTCTATTGCTCAATGTCAATCTATTGCTGAGCCTATGTAGCCCATTCGCCTCAAGGTTTGACGTGTTTTGCATTCAGAGATGCTCTTTTGCATACCTCAGTTGTAACGAGTGGTTATTTAAGTTACTGTTGCCTTTCTATCAGCTTGCCGTTCACTAGATATTTTCTCTTTTTCTGACTTTTTTCTCTGTAAACCCTAGAGATGGTTGTGCGTGGAAATCCCAGTAGATCAGCAGTTTCTGAAATACTCAGACCAGCCCGTCTGGCACCAACAACAAGAAGGGTCTGGCTGCAGACACGGTGCAGTGCAATCTGAGCTGCATCCAATGCTTTTAATGCGCTGACCTAACCCCACCCCTAACCCTACCCATCACAGTGAAGTTACTCGCACCACTGAGTGCACTGAGTCTGACATTGCATCGCTGAGTGATGCAATCTCAGCTTGCATCATCAAGGCTGCATCCAGATACTATTGCCAACAACCATGCCATGTTTAAAGCCACGTAAGTCACCTTTCTTCCCTATTCTGAAGCTCGGTTTAACTGCAGCAGATCGTCTTGACCATGTCTACATGCCTAAATGCATTGAGTTGCTGCCATTTGATTGGCTGATTTGACATTTGTATTAACGAGCAGTTATACAGGTGTGCCTAATAAAGTGGCCGGTGATTGTATAGCATTATTGTTGGTATTTAATCTTCAGCATTATGCCTACAGAATTACGTAATAATTTCTTGACAGATGGTTTCTTATGAAACGGGCTGTAACACGCATGTAATGAGTTGGTGTAGAATGCATGTCAATACAAGCCAACATGAAACTCTATTGGCTGGATTTGATTGTCAGTTTGAGTATTGGCGACAGAGTGCTGTCCTCCCCGCTTGTGTCTAAACTCATTCCAGCTGTTATAAAATTAGCCCTCTGTAATGCGTCTCTTAAAGGCCTTGGTGACAGATCAGTTTCCAGCCGTTCCCAGGTCCAGTGGGCCATAATTACATTTTATTGATTTCTCTTCTGACCGTACATATCCCCTTTATTAGATGCAGAAAATCCATTCCAGTCCTAGCACCACTTCAGCCTCTTCTTGGACCGATTTTTGTTTTTTGTATCGATTTCTGTCTTGATAAATGAAGGGTGTAGCGATTAGATCTGGAGTCCCAGTGGCTGAAATAGACATCAAGACATCTTCACATGTATCATAGCTACACTCATTGTGCTTCAAGTGGTAAGTGTACAGTGAGTAGATATTTCATGCCTCTCTTCATCGGCTAATGAGGCGCAACAGAACAATAGTGTATGTATGTATGTGTGTGTGTGTGTGTGTGTGTGTATAGCTTGATGTTCATTATGCTATATTAACAAAGCACTATGCAAAAGGTCTTTGCATCTTTCTCTGATCTCTTCCTTCAAAGTCCCTTTGTGTCCATTCAGCCCGTGTTGAGGGATGGAGAGATCATCTCTGAACAGCAGGATGAAAGAGATTACTGCAGATTACAGTTGGCACGTGTCCATCTGCTTTCCTCATTCATACAGTACACGCTGACATCACGGTTCTTTACCACAACCCAGCAGCAGCAATGGTAATAAATTGAAAATGCAATTTCACAGAGTCGCTTTAATGCAAACGCAATGCCTAATAGAGCTGGCAAGAACAGTCCCCGAGCCGGAAACTGCACAGGAGCAAATGTTTCCCTCAAGGACACAATGGAGATGAAGCATGGCCTTGAACTCATATAACCCCATTGTTTGCTCTTCCTTCAGTATCCACTGGATTATGCTAGGAAATTCCCTGTAAACATTGAATTTTACAAGTGATTACTGTGAGATTATGAATTAGTCATTGATTAGTATGAATTAATGCAATCTTATTTGCGTGGCCCACTGGTGGTTAGACCCTTACATCCATTTACAGATCTAGAAATTTTCTGATGAGTTTGGGATGGAGAGGTGGACTAAACATTAAAATAATAATGTTTGGATTTAAGCAAACAATTTGTTTTACCCATACGGTTGTGTCTTTATTGCAGTGATCAACATATTTCTGATGAATATACTGATCCTGCTGGATATCCGCTTCCTGTTTTTTTGCACTTCTATTCTATAGAGACTGATAAACGCAAGAGCTGTTCATCTGAGCGATCAACACTTCCTCCTCTACCACGTCTTAAAGGTGGTCTTTGCTCATCTTCATTACCTACCCACCATAGCTAAGATCTAATTTCCATTGGTTAACCTTCAGACTTTTTCAAAAGGTACAGTATTTCATTATGATTGTTATTGTGATTATGATTATTATGATCGTTATGCTGTATTATATACTAGAGCTTTAGCAAAGCAGTATATTATGCCACTCTGTCCTGTTATTTGCATTGTGTTGTGTTGTGTTTGGGCTGTTTTGAACTGAGAACATTTGCTGTAAATAAATATATTTAGTTTATTTATGGGCTGCACAGTGGTGCACAGAGTCCCAGCTGTTCAGGAGGTCTTTCTGTGTAGAGTTTGCTGCATCTCCCCATGCTAGAGATTCCCCACAGTTCATAAACATGCCCTATAGGTTGATACACTAAATTTGCCGTAGTGTATATGCGGTAGAGTTTGTGGGTGCTTGCCAGCACTGATGGTTGCACTCTCACTGTTGGTTTGCAGCTGGAAGGGCATTCACAATGTAAAACAGTTACCAAAGTAATTGTCAGTCGGCGTGGGATGATAACCGGCTTCAAGGTTTACCGCAGTTTGGAAAAGTCAAGGTTTTTAAACCGCTCTAATTTTCTGTTATACCGAGCCTGTAAGGTATAAGTAAGTTTTTTTATATGTTTTTTTTTTATTATGTTGAAATGAAAAAAAAAACTAATTAATACAGCAGAAGTCAGTGATTTATTTGAATTATTTAGCCTGATATGTTTACTCTTGAGGTGACGAAGTGGTGCAGTAGGCAGTGCTGTCGCCTCACAGCAAGAAGATCACTGGTTCGAGCCTCGGCTATGTCAGTTGGCATTTTTGTGTGGACTTTGCATGTTCTCCCTGCATTCGCGTGGTTTTCCTCTGGGTGCTCCGGCTTCCCCCACAGTCCAAAGACATGTGGTACAGGTGAATTGGGTAGAACACTGAACACTGGCCCATGCCTAATTGTCAGTTCATTCCACTGTGGCAAGAGACTAAGCCAGGGGTCACCAAACTTGTTCCTGGTGGGTCGCTGTCCTGCAGATCTTAGATCCAACCCCAATCAAACACACCTGAAAAAGCTAATCAAGGTCTAAGGTATACTTGAAACATCCAGGCAGGAAAATTGGTGACCCCTGGATTAAGCCAAAGGAAAGTTTGACACCTGAAACATTTAAGTGTGTTTTCTGCTAGTTATATACTATTAATAATGCTTGACTCTTTATCAGACAAAGAACCATACAGGATATGATTGTAATAACCCTGAGTAATACTCCAGAGTTTTCAATTAGTATTTCAATGACTACCCTATAAATAGTTAGCATTTTTAGTTAGCAAGTTTTAGTAAAAATGCATTTATTTTTAGCTTGTGTGGTAAAATGATGTCATTTACTGTAGGTTGAAAGTAAGCCCTGAGGTAAGACTCCAACCTGTTTGGCCTTGCCACTGATCCACACAAATGTTGTGGCTGGTTTCAGGGAAATATTTCTTAGGTTTTTCCACTGAGCTGAGACATTGGATATATGCCGGTCTGCACGTCTCTTCTTGGTCACAGGGCTGGATTTTGGGGAAAGAACATCCTACCAGATTTTTTTTTTTGAGGCTGGAAAATGTTGAAATGCCTCTTTCAACATGGAAAAAGAAAGGGGCCCATTATAGTTGGTGCACATCACTAACAAATGTCAATTACACCAGTGTAAGCTTAAATTGGAAAGTAATACTATAGCGTTACTAAATTGTGATATCTGAACTTATTTTTATCCAGACGCATACTGAATGAATGGCAATGTGAAAGTGACTGAAGGAGATTACAATGATGAAATAGAGTAGGTCTAATGTCAAACTGTCCATCTATAATGTTTTTTTTTTTCACACATATATAGTTTGACTGCTTTGTATATCCAGTTATCTTTAATTTTTTGAGCACATCCAGCATCAGCGAGCGCGGGGTTTCTTGTAGGGGAGTGTATAATGGACATTGGAGATTCACGTGCCAAAAATATCCTCACTGGAGCACCAGCACGCCGCGCGTTCCCGACTACTCCGAGGCATGTGACTGCGCGCCCACGCGAACCGGCAGATGCGGAGAAAGCGAGAGGAAAGGCAAAGCATCACTTCAACTTAATTCAACTTTATCGCTCGAAAACTGGAACTCCCGCTGGTCATATTGCTTAGCGCACACAGGACTGACAATCATTTGAGCGAACTAGGTGTTAATTCGTGTTTATTTACTCGAGTGTTTTGACCATGGAGGCAGTCGCACCTGGGAAAAAAAGGTAAGCGATGAACACTTTCAGGTTAAGATGTTGCTTGTTTTGCCAATAATTCTGTTTGATGCTTGTTTGTAGATGCGCTCGGTAGTCTCTCTCCATAATTTCTCCCTGATGACCTGTTGTCGCATTTATAATTCACACCTCTATATGAATGAAACCGTGATCCGCAAGTGTTTTCACACAGACGACTGCGATGTTTTGATCGCAGACTTCTAATTGAATTAAGGAAAATCTCTAATATAAAAAGTTGGCTTTCTGACTGTATCACAGCTGACTTGCGCACTATGAATGTTTGATAGTGAATTAAACTACATCGTCTGTTTTATACGTCAAAAGAGGCGATGAATGAACAGAGCAGAAAAGTCTACAAGCTTTAAAAAGTTAGATAAAAGCAGAATAGCTAAACAAATCACTTGACTGATTTTTTTTTTAAATGACTTAAAACTCATTCAATATAAATAGCCTATATTTGTGGGTTGGGTTAAAGACATTTATTGTTATGTTATTTTTAAAGCCCAATGATGACTTCCCCACACTGGACTGTCAGACTTGTAGCGATACTTTCTTGGAACATTTTGTTTTGGAGATGCCTATAGGGACCAATGGGGTGACATAATCACGTCATTACGCAAAAGAATCACTGAATGAATCTGTTTTCAAAACAAACAATCAATGACATGATGATATTATTCATTTATTTACATTTTTTTTAAAAACTAGATTCACGATTTGGTCCTCTAAGTGAGCTATGGATTTGTATGTCATTCCTATGTGATTTTATCACACATGCGCAGTGCTGTAGGGTTCCTAATGAACCCACTACACCTCCTCCACACAACACAGAAGGTTTGATTGATCATCTCTCCTTTTAAAAATCACTCAGTAGTCCAATGGGAAGATACGGCCTGATGCCATTTAATTAAAGAGTACCGCCAAGCGCTTAAATCTATCCAAAAGCCAGTGTTTTAAATAGACATAAACATTTTCACAAATCTAGGCTAGTTGTGATATGCACAGAGCTGGACTGAACATGTAAAGGCCGTTATTTACATTAGATTAATTTCTTCAAAAGGGATTCAACTCTCTTAAAAGAAAATGTCCATGCTATAAAGAATAATTATATGTTTTGTAAACATCCTTTCAGTAATATTTTGAAGAACATTCTTATAATCTAGATTATCTTTTCCTGCTATACAGAATCAAATGCTTCTTTAGATGTTCTTTATGAAAGAGTTGATGCCATTTAAAGAACCTTTATTACCATATTATGCACTAAGGTTATTTGTAAAGATTCTTAATGGAACATGTGATGCCATTATTTTTATGTATATAAACTTTATAGAGTGGCATGGTGGCTTGGTTAGCACTGTCGCCTTACAGCAAGAAGGTTGCTGATTCAAGTCCCAACTGGACCAGTTGGCATTTCTGTGTGGAGTTTGCATGTTCTCCCCGTGGGTTTCCTCCGGGTGCTCCAGTTTCCCCCACAGTCCAAATACATGCACTACAGGTTAATTGAAATAAGCTAAAATTGACTGTAGTATATGTGTGTGTGTGTGTGAATGCATGTGTGTGTGGGTGTTTCCCAATAGTGGGTTGCTGCTGGAAGGGCATCTGCAGCGTAAAACATATGCTGGAATAGTTAGTGGTTCATTCCCCTGTGGTGACCCCAGAAAAATAAGGGGCCAAGCTGAAGGAAAATGAATGAATAAACTGTATAGCTCACAATTTATAATTAATTGTCAATAATTTTATATCACTGTTTACATGCATTTAAAATGGATAGAATGTAAAGCTCTCACTTATTTGTCATGGTGCATACACATGTAGGTAAAACCCTTGGTGCTGCAGAGCTGTCCTCTGAAAGCTCTCAGTGTTTTGCTCTGGATCAGCTGACACCTCTCCACTTGGCTCTATGGTAAAGGTCCCCCGTGTGCTATCAGCTTGTGGCCTGTCGTTGCTGTCGTTTGCAGGGGTGTAAAACGAAGCTGAGAAAGGTTAGGCACCTCCTGCACTTATCAAGCCAGCCATTCGTCCTCTTAGAAGCAGAATTCGTAAATAGATGAGACTTCATTATCAGACAGCTGATGAAGAATGTTGACCTTTGCTTGAATAATGTCCTGCCCGCCGCCTTTTTTAAGCATGTATTTCATGAACAGGTCTGTGGCTGCTTCAGGGCAGTGTTAGCATTTATTTCAAATGTGTTATAATGTCCAATAACATATCCACAAGAGGATCTAAATGTTGCATGAGCGCTTTAAAAGGACAGGATAATTGCATTAGCCTAGATTCTATTGAAAAGCCGGCATGATCCTATATCATGTTCTGTTAAACACACAACTTAATCTCACGCACAGCGAGTCATTAAGTTCAGAAAGAGAGCCCCAACTACAAAGCAGATTTGTGATATATTAGTTCTGGGTGTCAACCTGCTGACTTTGTTCATGCTACAGGTCAAGGTTGCATATGTATCGGAGATGCATTAAACAGAGATGTTTTCCCGCTAGGGTGTGTGTGTGTGTGTATTCACTGTCCTTGCTGAAATATTTAGTCCATAGTAAGTGTGCCTTATGTGTGTGCGTTGTAAATAATGAATCATGTAGTCCCCTGCAGGAAGCAGTTTGTACTGGTCAGAAGGAGGGAAAACAGAGAGCAGGTTGACTGACAGAAAGCTTATTGGATCATTATTATTAAAGCATGCTGAGGGCCACAGCTCGCCTCGCAGAGGGGGCTGTGATCATGCTAAAGGCTCCGTCTGTCTGCTCGCCACAGTCTGGCTCAGCACATCTGAGGCGACGTCGAGAATATTATATCCGATTTCAGAGCGTAACTGTCCCAGCTGCTTTGTTGAAGTATATTTGATACCTCGGGCACCACTTTAATTCAAAACAATCTCATTTAAAAATCTCCTGTGCATACAATTACACTTCATAGTAAGTGTTCCATTCAACATTTACCTCCATCCTATGTTCACACTTGTATTTAGGAGACTGAACGTATGTTGATGTCCTGATATTATCACAGTGAATATCAGTTGTTTCATTAGAATTTAAAATATGTTAAAACACTGTCATTATGGCACTAGTATAACAATATATACTCATGGACTGAATCAGAACACAGATTTTGTTTGCTTAGTTCAGTATTGCCTAACCCTGTTCCTAGAGGCACACCAACATTACATACACTCCACTTTACATCTGTCCAACTGCTCGTTAACACAAATTTCTAATCAGCCAATCACTTGGCAGCAGCTCAATGCATTTAGGCATGTTGACATGTTCAAGACAATCTGCAGCAGTTCAAACCAAGCATCAGAATGGGGAAAAAGCTAATTTAAGTGACTTTGCCCATGGTTGTTGGTGCCAAACGGACTGGTCTTAGTATTTCAGAAACATCTCTAGGGTTTACTGAGAGGTCAGAGGAGAATGACCAGACGGGTTCGATCTGATAGAAAGGCAACAGTAACTCAAATAACCACTCGTTACAATCCAGATATGCAGAAGAGCATCTCTGAACGCGCAACATGTCAAACCTTGAGGCAGATGGGCTACAGGAGCAGAAGACCACACCAGCGGCACTCTTGTCAGTTAAGAACTGAGGCTACAATTCGCAAAGGCTCCCAAAAATTGGACAATAGAAGAATGAAGGCAAAAGGGAGTCCAACCCGGTACTTGTAAGGTGTACCTAATTAAGTGGCCGGTGAGTGTATTTTAGATGTCTTCCTTATCTGATCCATTGATTTCGGGTTTTGGAGTCTCTTCTAATGTTTTGAAGAGTTGATTCAGGTGTTTCATTAGGGAGAGGTTGAAAACTTGTACCATTGGTGTGCCTTCAGGAACAGGGTTGGGAAACACTAGTTCAGCGCTGCTACATAAGTAGACTATTTAAAATGCACCTTTATATGAGGAAACCAGCTAAATTTTAAAGTCAGTAAGTTATAAATTTTTTTTTAAAGCTCTCCTGCTTGTTGTTTGCTCGTGTTCAGCTTGTTTTTTTCTGTGTATACGATGTTTGAGCAGCTCCCACTTGTGCTTTAAATCATTTACTACTTGTAAATGATAACTCATGCGCTATTTAAGTTGTTCACTGAATCAGATCGTTTTTTGTTTTGCTTTAAAAGTAAAAGTGATTCTTAATATCTTTATATTTCTATATTTACTTATACTTTAAGCTTTTAATATATTTGTTCAGTTTGCAGAATTTTAGCGTTCAGTAAGAAAACTGTTATTCAGTGTCTCTCAATGTCTCTTTAGGCTCAGGTTCTGTTTTTAAAGTATCGATTTGGGATCTAGAAAACTGAAATGATACTAAAACCTTACCATTAAAGCATTCTCAAAGCTCATAGAATTATAATTTTTATTGACAAATATAGAATCATCCCAATCAGTTTAATATTAAATTTCTCCTATTCAAGTCATCTGGTGAAATTGCATTCATTTTACAATATACCTGTATACTTAATAAATACAGTATATTGCATCATTAGTTTTTTTTTCCCAGTATCATCATGCATCCTTAGTTTAAAACTAGAAAGACTACCTAGATTCACATCGAGACTAATTAATCCCCTTCTTTGCATGACACAATAACATTAGGTACAGAATAGCTGGTTCAGTGTATTATCTTGAACATTAAGCAGCAAAAATTCTAACTTTTGCAATAAAAAAAGCTATTCAATTATGAATGTTCTCATCTACCGTCCCTTTCGGCTAATGCTATAACTGAACTAATATTAACAAAATTATTCTCATTGTTTTATAGCATCTAGAATGGTTGTATAGGATCCCTTGGGGCCTTTTGTTGCCTATTATACAGCATGATGCTTTGTTTGAAGTTTTAATGTTCTCTCAGCAGGGGTTTGTGGTTAGCTCATTTTTTCCACCGTGCTACTGTTGTGTTTTTATTAGACTTTGTATTATCTTAGAGCGACATCTGTATCCAAATGACTATATTTTTTACTATTATAACTTATAACCTATAAATATGGTCTACATGTTCCATGA